CAATGATGCCCAGTTAGCTTTACTTCTAGCAAAGCTAATAATGTGGTTATGCTGCTGATAACACAATTTTTATGAAGTACCTAAGCCTCGCAGAAGGAAAAAAAAATATTAGTTTTCTTTCAACCTAAATTCTTCGCAATCTTCTTCTTATTTCCTTCCACCTCTCTCTCTCTTTACCTCTGTCTTAGTTATTAAAACAAATGGCGACAGAAATATATGCCTCGTGGGGCTTAAAGGGTGACAATGAAGACATATTTATGCTTTCGACTCTTTTACGAACTATTACTGCTCTGAACTAAATCTCTAAGTAATTTCAAATTACCACCCAGTCTCATGGGCACGTACTTTATACATAATACAATAGGGAGATCAGAATACTAAATTTAGTAACAATTAATTTTAGAATTTTATTGTCTTATATTTCCATGATTTTTTTTTAAATTAATGAATAATGGGGATGTCTGTCTCGCTGTTAGAGTAATCCTCTCCCGAACCAAAGAACAGGTTTATATTACACGTATTGTAAACCTTTCAATGTTAAGGCTATTTAAATATTTGACATCAATCATCTACAGTTTACAAAGTTTAATTCTAAAATGGTGTTGCGTCTCTTCTTATATGTGCAGCTTATTTTGGTTAAGTTAATTTTAATTATGATTTTCTCAATAAATAGCAACGGTATCACATCAATTACTCTGAACTCCTACTATTGCAACTGTTACGTATTTAAAATCCTTAAAATTTTAGTTTAATAAGTAAGTCCATTTCTACAATTGAAAAAATGAAAAATAGATAAATTTGTCCATGAGAAACACGAGTAAAATGTTATACAGAATTTAATTCTATTAATATCAATATTTTTTTAATAATTGATAAGGTAAAAAAAACTGTGTTCTATGGCATAAAATTCTCTGAGTAATCAAAACAATTGACCAGTTTAATTAAATGTAGTACAAATCCTATAAGTCCCTTTGCTGCATAAACTACATATAACAATGATGATTCTTGTACAAGCAATTCTTCATATTTATTTTATCTGCTTTAGAAACACGAACACTGTCATTAATGGAATTAATGTAATAAGAATTTGGAAATAAAAAAACAGAGTTCTCTCCTTTTTTAATACCCATTATATTTTTCCGATGATGTCATTCAATTTTGAAACTTCCGTCGAGCAGAAAGTAGGACTAAAACACAAAAACATTTCTAACCTTAACGAAAACGTCAGTCGAGGCATAGACCGGGATAAGATAGAAAAACGTGGGTGTGATTGTAAGTATAAACTGAAGTCGTAGTAAGTCACAAAAACACATACAACGAACTACTATATACCGTACAGACCTTCCATCTATACGCAGGTATCCATAACATAAAAGCTTATACCAACACCAATATCGATTAACTCTTCGGAAGATAGAATCATAAAATAGAATTATTTCATTTACAATGTACATGCCTTTGATTTATTTCTACCCTCAAGCTAGTGGTGTAATCAAAACGCACAGATTCGCCCCGACCACAAAACTTCAATAAACTGAAAAATCACAACTATCACAGATTACTGATGGTTCTCCCGGTATTTCAATGGCATCATCTTTAATCTTGACGTTTTTATGGGTAACATTTCTTTCACTGTCACACACAAGCTCCAGATTCAAAAATACAGGCTGTCCCAAAGAGTTCTATACACACACTCAAAGTAATAAAGGCATTTTAATAAACTAAACCATTACATACGTCAACATTGAAACCTAATGTAGGTGTTCAAATAGCCAACTTTAACTTCGTGACGTATCTGACGCGGTGAACAACTGTCTGATAAGCGGCCACAAAAGTTTCTCATGTGTTTACATATTTTGGGACAGCCTGTATTCGTACGATGAATGTAGTATGACTGTAACTACCAGACGGCGCAGATCTTAACTAAAATACTGCCTTTGGCCTTTCATAATGTGCAGTTAGGTTAACAAAGTGATGGATCTTTTATAAACTGCATGTCATAATTTATCATCGAATTTGTATTGGCTTCGTTCTTGTCTAAATATTCTGTTGATGCCCCGTTTACTGTCGGATTTCCTCGGATCTTGGAAGATCCGATGAACAGTTTTTTGTTAAGCATAATTCTGTGTTGACAATGCAAATCTCAATGACACTAAAGTGTTTTGTGTGCTTACAACTGGATGCCAGTTTACACGTGAACACTAACGCTAATCTGATTTAAGTAATCTCAATATGTACGACGTTGAGCAAAGGAAACAAAGCTGCAAACGTACATGTTACAAGGTCTGTTAAATTTACTTTTGTGTACTTAAATAAGATAAATTAACATCAAATAACTAATGGAACAAAACGCACGATGTATAAAATTAATAAACGCATATTAAACATTTATTTTCAAGCACAAAAGTCAATAATTAAACATTTCCTTGCATAAATTTATCCACGGAACTAGTGTAGCCTTTTAACAATCAAGGAGGTAAATTGAAAATTATTTTACTTTACAACACCAAAAACAGTCATATAAAGCAACGTGTGTTTTGCGCCGGCGAATTTGGCTTTTAATTTTATTATATTAATAATATGATTTTGAACTTAACTCAATAGATATCTTACAGAAACATCACAAAGTATTACTTGCATCACTTACGCTAATCTGACTTGAAGACGTAAGAATTGCAGAGAAATTCTTGAAAATTTATGAGACGTAAGAATTGCAGAGAAATTCTTGAGAACTTATGGCGAACCAGGTAGCTAATCAGTTACAGATCGCTTCAGCTTTAAAAATCTCGCATTTATTTTTAGGCTGCTTATGTTCCAAAGGATAAGTCCAAGGCCCTTTATAATATTTCATAACACACAACTCTATCAACAATTAGAAGATGTTAGTCTCCCAACTCCTAAGTAAGATTACCCCTTGTCACCTGTCTGCAACTTATTTGCAGGGAGTACCAACTTGCAGAGGAGTTTGACCTCATAGGTCGAATTAATGTTTAAATATTGATCTAAGTTTCTGAATCAGTTTTCACAAGAAAGCCCCCTACTACGTTATATCAATCAGCAGACACAATAAATAAAAATATCCTACCAGCTTTATTCAACAAGATATTTTGTTAAAAGGCCACTGAACTAACTTTCAGATTTGTAACAGTAATACAAAGTAATATTTAGTTTACGTTTATCTTTAAGTCTAAAGTTACTAGCAATTATCTATGTAATTATTGAAAAGCTTAACTAGAAAACGTGGGTTTGTGGTACACAGTTTGTTGGTCACTGTCATGATAATTCCTGTATAGATAAGTATTCTAAATCTTCGATAAAATAATTGATATGAATCCAATTATAATTCAGACGCAAGCCTGCCCTTTGTTCAAACCACTCCAGACATGAAGAAACGCAGACAAAGGTCGCGATTTTTTTAACAAAAGACAAACAATCTACATACTAGGAGCGTGAATGCAAAGATATGTGTCCACAGCCTGTTGTGAAGCTACTAGTCGTTCATATAGTCAATAGATTCTGTTACACGTTTTGTACCTGAAGGTTCAATATTTTGTTCACAACAGCTCTCAATTGGATAATATTCTGAGCCATATAAATCCATTCCTCACTCTTACATCATGGTTATTTTACATGCATTTTGATATTATCCTCCCATTTACGTCTAGGTTTTCCAAATGGGCTCTTTATTTCAAGTTTTATGGCTAAAACTTTCTTGTCTGTTATACATGCTACATGGTCCGCCATTTTATTTTCCTCTATTTTATCAACTTAATGATAGCTACTTGGTGAAGAGTACAATTTAAGAGTGTTATCTGTATTAGATGAGATACGTATTTTTAATTCATCGCACTCAATGAGTGAGAACAAATTTGAGTCTGTCCTCTTGTCATTGCCAAACTGATAAGTATTTGACAACTCTGTTTCAACTTGTGTGTGGATAAGAATATCACAGCCTTCTATAGGTGCTATCCACCTACACAGTTAAAGCAGATGCCCAGGTTTCTAATCAGGTCAATTTCCTGTAAAAAATGTGGCACTACGACACGTTCTTCTCCAAGTCTTTAGGTTTTTCACTGTCAATATCATTCTATCGCTGCTCCATATACACCCATGTATCATCTGCGAGATGAACAATGAGCCCATTAGCGATCCACCTACACAGTTAAAGCAGATGCCCAGGTTTCTAATCAGGTCAATTTCCTGTAAAAAATGTGGCACTACGACACGTTCTTCTCCAAGTCTTTAGGTTTTTCACTGTCAATATCATTCTACCGCTGCTCCATATACACCCATGTATCATCTGCGAGATGAACAATGAGCCCATTAGCGGCCACAGTTGCACAGACACACATTTTTGTTCCCAACAATAGCAAAATAATTTATTTATACAGACAGGAAAATCAAGGGAAAATTCGGTCAGCTGAGTACCCACCGTAAGGCCTAAGCTAATACCTCCCGAAAATAAGTCTAGATCAATGCTGCTAAAGTTACCTGCTTCATTCCTGAAGATGGAGGTAATATGTTCCTATCTACCTACAAGTTCACACGGCGTTACTACCCAGTGTCTGCACTTTTTTTTAAATTTGGCAAGGTTCACTGTGCGGGGAAAGCCAGTAATAACTCAATATAAAAATTAAGAAAGATAAAATAGTTTAAGAATAACACCTGAGGTTAATACCATATTTCTAGAGTTCATTTACTTCAGATATCGAATAGAAACCCGGTTCTATAGTGAAATATATCTTACGCCGTTAACTTATGAGTAAATTAGAACGAAATAACTTCATCGTCCCAATTCCGTCGTCATAAAATAACGTAATCGGAAAATTTCACTGATATAAAACTTCAATCACTGATAAGTGTGACTAAAAACTCCCAAACCAAATCAGTTATAAAGAGATTGGATTTTCCCATCCAAACGAAGGACGAAAGATAAATCAAGATTGTGGAGATATGCCAGGTAAGAGACAGGTAAGTAGCAACTTAAAGTGTATAAAAGGCAGCGAAATGACAGAATATCACATTCGTCAACATGCTCCGATTCCTGGTACTTGCTGTCCTTGTTGTCTGCAGCCTGGGTAAGTCTTGTGTTTCTTTTTAAAAAACAGTATTACAGCGCCGACGTTTCGGCACCGACATGACGATTTCTTAATTAACACGCTCCAAACTACACGTATTATAACTGACATTTGACTTGCGATATAAAGGAAGAGAGAATAAATATCATAGAAGTTCAACACCGCGCACTTTTTGGACACAAATTCTCCTTGTTTCCAGGAGCTGCCCCCCGCCTCAGACGTCCGCGTCTTGACGGACGAATTGTCGGCGGTGAAGCCGTTGACATTGCCGACTATCCGCATCAGGTAAAACCACGACTACCTAACCGATTAATCACTTAATTTGTTAAAGCTGTGTGTTGATAAGAATTTAGTTATTAAGAGTAAAATAAATCATTTGAAAATATTTCAGCTCTCCTTCGAGTACAGCAACAGCCACAGATGTGGTGCTTCGATCATCAGTGCAAACTGGGTCATAACAGCAGCTCACTGTGTTGATGGGTAAGATGCCACTACTAAGATTAAAAAGATGAGATATTGGTTATGGAAATTAATCTTAATGCATAAGTAGCTCGGAATATTGTGTTCTGTGTAACAGACTGACTTCTTTATCAAAGTATAATAATTACGCAAACACGCATATTGGGTTTCAAGGTATTATTTATCTAATGCGTTCATTAGAAAGAAAAAGTAACTTCTGAAATAAAATGTTGCTTTTACAAATGTATAGACGGTGATATAAAATCATCAGCACAAACGTCAAGAATGTATGAAGTCTACAAATTCAATATTTGCGTCTTACAAACATTTAGCATTCAATTGTGGATGTCGAATGAACATTTCAAATTAAAATACAAGAAAAATATTATAGCATATGCAACGAGTGTTTTCAGAACAATGGCATTCCGAAATAATGCAGCGTTTTGTCAAAATATTAATTAAATAACATCTTATTTTTCGTGGCAAATAATTGTTATCAACGTAGTAAACACGTCATCACTTCAGACGACGAATATGGTTTATTCTTGAAAGGATCTGATAGTATAAATTTTGGTGCGATTGTCTGATTATTATAAACTGCCTTGAAAACCAGTGGATCATACACACAGAAATATTATAGAAAGGATTAAAACAAAAAATTAATTTGTTATATAAAGAGTTACGGCTTCTCGTGTCCAATTCCGAGCTGGCAGCAGTACCAGGGGTACAGGTGGTTCCATCCACCCAGCAGCTGAACTCATTGCCAACCCAGATTACGATTACTACACAATCGACTTCGACGTAGCTGTCGCCAGGGTAAGTGACAATGTTTTAAAGAAACCTTGCTGCTATACGAAATCAGTCTAATGTATTTTTCCCAGTACACTATTACTAAAACAAGCTAATCATTGTAGTAACAGAAATTGGTTTTGAATTTTCAAGGACTTTGCATTCCTGTGAGAAATAAAGAATTAATTTAAATCTTGGCGAATTTGTCACTGTTACGTTGTAAAACGCAAATGTGTCCTTACACATATACCGACGATGCCAATAATATTTTCTGGGTCTCACTGAAATGAGAAGATGTAAAATGCGTACAAAATTTTGGTTAGGGTTTCATTGAGGGAAGATACCACTTGGAACGCTTAGGAATAGATGGGGAAAAAATACGAAAATCTTAGGGAAACAGGGTTTGGGGGTGTGTACTGGATTAATCCGGATCAAATTAGGCACCAGTCTCGGGCACTTGAGAACACTGAAATGAACCTTCGCGTTCCACAAAAGGCGAGGATTTTATTGACTAGCTGGGCAACTGTTATCGTATCGATACGCGCTCTTCTCCATGGAGTTAATTATCATAACGGATAAGCTGTATTTAGGTTCCTCGTTCGCAGGGCAAAATAAACCCTCAACTGTTACTAATTACGTAAATCCTGCAAAGTAGAAGATTATTTCATTTTTGTAGAAATTTCTTCTGATCCGAATATTTGTCACTTCCAGGTGTCAGTTGCCTTCAGTTACGGTACTGGGGTTCAGCCAATTGCACTGGCCGTCTCAGAACCTAACGCTGGCGCTGTTGCAGAGGTTAGTGGCTGGGGAACATTGTCCTCCGGATCATCGTCTCTACCAACACAGCTTCAGGCAGTAACAGTAAATATTGTATCCTTCGCGCAATGCAATTCCGCGTATTCGAGCTACGGTGGGATCACCTCAAATATGATCTGCGCTGCCGTGACCGGCGGAGGCAAGGACGCCTGCCAAGGTGACTCTGGCGGCCCTCTGGTCGTTGACGGAGACCTGGTCGGCCTTGTGTCCTGGGGAGTTGGCTGCGCCGAGGCATCATACCCCGGCGTGTACTCCAACGTTGCAGCTCTCAGAGACTTCGTCACGCAACAAACTGGTGTTGGCCGAAAATAAAACTGCGATAAAGAAATGCTAATTTTACGTCTACAGAAGCTTTAAAATGTACGTCACTAAATCAGATGAATAAATAAATGCGCTCTATAACGCTTTGGATTATGGATATGAAATACATCAGTGTAACCTTTTCCTGAAAATCACTCCATATCCTAAATACGGCAGCGAATGTGAACTTATCCCTGACACGCCGTGATGAGTGACCTAAATATAAAACTGGTGAAACGTGTTGTGACGTCGACGCCTATCGACTATTGCTTAGTCTCTATGTCAACCTTGATTTATTATGAATAAATCAGTTTACAAAGTCTACACATACGGGCAAATCCCCTAGGTCTCTACCTCTAGACGTGATACACACACTTTCTCTCTCTTCAGATCACACGCACTGTCTTTCGAGTCGTTCTAGTCCCAAGTTTGACGCTCTCCGCACACACGCACACACACACACACACGATCCTCTCTCAGCCCTCGGCGCCATACCAGACCGCTCGATGGCTTCGCACTCTCTTCACACTCTTCCACCAGAGACCCCACACAATATTCTCGCTAGACCCACGCAAGACTACCGCCAAAACTAGACTCGGGCAGGCGACTCTATATAGCCGACGGCCCATCCGTGGAATATCCTAGGAACAAGGATCTAGATTTTAGTAAGCGTACCTTCTAGATTCTAGAAGGTACGCTTACTGGAAGGTTCGGTTAAGGAGGGGAATACACCGTCTGGAACATTCCACGGCGGCCCTACCCCTCCAGTGCTAGCCTTCTCTGTAAATATCAATTAACACAAGGAAAACAAAAGCCTTAATCAAACAAGGAGAAGATCATTAGATCATCATATAAAGATCAAGGAACATGAAATAGAAGTGGTGCAAAGATTCTCATACCTGGGAGTATGCATAACAAATAAGAATGAGGAAATGGTAGAAATACAAAGCATAATCCAAGCGGCCAATAAAGCATATTTCTCGATATTACCACTGATAAAATTCCATAGAATAAACAAGAAAGTGAAAATCACATTATATAAAACTCTGATCCGTAGCATAATATCATACGGGAGTGAGACTTGGGTACTCAACCAGAATGCAGCAGATAAAGTGGATCGGTTTGTACGGAAAATCCTGAGGAAAATTTTCGGCCGACCACAAGAAGCAGGTGAATGGAGGATAAAAACTGATCAGGAAATCTATAAATTATATAAAGATATACCATTGTCATAATTTATAAAAATCAAGGGACTACAACGGGCAGGTCACCTGATTCCGATGGACGACATCCGAATTAAAAGAAAGTGTTGGAGGAAGAAGACCAGTTGTAAGACCCAGGAACAGATGGGAGGATGCAGTTCAAACGGATGCCGCACTGCTCCTGAGCGGAGGATAGGACCGAATGGAAGAGGAGAATTGAGGAGGCCATGGACCGAATACGGACCGGAGAGCCACAGAAGAAGAAATATCAATGACCAGCGACTTTTTATGCTTGTGGATTAAAAAGAGTTTGAATTGTTATCTGTTATAAATAATCTGGAATTAGGATCGTCATCGCTTTTTCGTTTGTATGTTAACAATAGTAACAAAGAGCCCGTACAAACGTTATGTGGTCAGATATATCCTAGGGAAATTACTGTAATCTAACGTCCTGACATTGTGAATAAAAACAGGTTGTCAGTACGTAAAGCTTTCTATGTACATTTCGTCATATTAAAAGCAACACGTTTCAAATAAAGCAGACATGACGTAACAACGTAGAAGTACATTGAAATAGGCTTTCTAAGGCAAATATTTTAATATTTTGCTATTATATTAGTTGTATTCCACAATATGTAGTTTTAATACAAATATTCCTTAAAGCATAATTTAGCTCATGAGATTATAATATATATTCAGAATATTCGTTTATCATTTAGTGTATAAATTAAATCAATACCAACACTATCTTCATCTTTAGTAAATAGAGTTGGTTAAATATTATTATTCAGTATGTTTCTGTTTTTAAACTTTGTACTCTGTTTTAAAAACGGAGGAACTGTTTATATTTATCTTTATTAAGACGATAAATTTTAGTGAATTAATTAATTATGGAATTGCGTTATTCAGGTAATGAAATATTACTTTTCAACACTAGTTCTTTATTGAGCTGCAATTTAATACAAAATTGTCAAAATAATGCATTATGAGTTACAGTTCCCGAAAATCGCTAACAGTGATTTTAGTATCACTTCACTCGACTCCAGTAACAGATGTCACCCAGTTCTTCAACACAGCAACGTTAGTGTACACACCAGGGAACCCAGCTCTGCCGCAGTCATCACCCCACGAGACAATACCAGAGAGTTTGCCGTTGGCCATCAGAGGGCCTCCTGAGTCTCCCTGGCAAGAATCTTTTCCGCCAGCTGTCACACCGGCACACAACATGCGTGGTGTGATACCCTCGTACTCCCAGTAAGCACTGTTACACTCTTCGTAGTCCATGACGTTGACCTGAACCTGCTGTAGCTGTGACTGCGAAGTACCTCCAGTTTGAAGTCTGCCCCATCCAGTGACAACGACTTGAGTTCCAAACGGAAGGTTTACAGAATTCATTGGGATAGGCTGCACACTCTCCCTAAATTCGAAGGGCACAGATACCTGCAGAAGGTATCGAAAGATAGGTGATGCTGTTTTACAATAGCGAACTTTCAAATACAAAGTATAAAAACACTGACAGATATAACTCCAAGGAGCAGAGAACTTGGGAAGAAATCTTCCAGCTAGTAAAGAAATCTGTTGCCTACTGGTTCAATACCGTGTTCACAAAACCCCGCCATTTGTCACTAATCCAGGGTGAGTTAAATCCGGACCACACACTAACACCCCATTTCGTCAATAACCATTCTCATATTATTCTCTCGTCTACCACAGTAACAATTTAGAAACTGGTAATATTTTACGGATTTCGAAATTCAACGGTGTCATAATTACTGTCGTTATTAATTCTTTAAGTCCTAATCTTTAAATAGATATCTACATTAACACTCCGTAGTTGTGAGTTTTGCCAACAAAATATATGCTTTCGTATAATTCTCACTGCAGCCGTCAAAGAATACATTAAAAATACAACCACCTTCACATAAAAATATAAACAGTGAAAAAAAATTGAAAATAAAATTATTACAAAGAAACAGGTTAGTGTCGACGCCTTAATATTTTTTCCCAGGATGTCAGAGTACACAACGATTATTTCATTAAACAGAATTAATCAGTTGATCCTTATAATGACTGTCGGTTACTTTTTCTTCGAGGTACGGACTCAATATATAAATATTACTGAGACGAGCTTTTGCTATGGCATTAGCACTTACGTTTCTGTGCGACAAAGCAAAATGTTTAGTTATATATATGATTTGTTTTACCAGTATTATTCTACTTTCCAAACATGATTTATACTTGTAATATTCAGCACACAACCAAGTTAATAAAGTGAAGTACTGCAGACAGCAACGTTGGGATCTTTTCCCGGCTGGGACAATTGTCACTGGAGTTGAACCACTGTTCTCGCAGCGGCTCAATGCACGTGAGGCCATAAGCTCAGACGAATTCTGGGCACTAACTGAAACCATAGTCGAGGAAGTTCACCTTTATAACAGCTATATCATAATCGGCGTTCCAGTATTCAGGATGTTCAACAATCTCCGACGCTGGGTGCAGGGACCCTCCAATTCCTTTTAATGAAGTTCCAGCACGCAGGCGTATTAAACTAGGCGGTCGACTGTATGTAAAATAAACATATTATTACACCTGAATTAATTTCAGACTGTCTTCATAAAGGACAATTAGTTACAGAACATATATTTCGCTTTCGGTTTTACAAAATATCAAATTTCAATGGTAGTTACAGAACATATATTTCGCTTTCGCTTTCACAAAATATCAAATTTCTATTATTTTAAGAGACGGAAGATTCAGAGATATTACGAATTTGAACATAACAAGACATCCCAGAAAATTGTCGAAGATTAAGCCTTAATTCCTGTGCTCCTTTTAATGAACAGTGGTCCTGCAAAATATCTGAAAGAATTCATGAAGTTCCTGGAAGTATTTACTGAACTCTGACGTCAAACTTACTCATGTGTACAGTGAGCAGCGGTCACAGCCCAGTTCACACTGATGACAGAAGCGCCACAGTCATGCAAGAGGCGGTACTCCAAGGAAACCTACAGGGAGGAAAACTTATTAAGATTTTAAAATGTCCTCGTTTCTTTCCTTCCTTTATCTCCAAATGTTTGACATGTCCCATCGACACTAACACAAGATTTTGTATTTCAAGTTCTTTGTGGTTCGATATCAGCATGTTTTCAAATTCTTTACTCTCGCGGATGTACGAGGTGCGATCGGAAATTTTCAAGACTGAGCCTATAAAAACCCGTACACTTATCTCAGGTATTAAATTCATCCATCACCCTCGAAGTAGTTCCCCTGGGAGTGAACACAACGATCCCAACGCCGCTGCCAAGCCTGGAAGCATCCCTGGAAATCTTTCTTTGTCAGCCTGTCAAGCACCATCTGCGATTCTGCCTGAATCTCTTCTATCTTATTTCAAGTTCTTTGTGGTTAAATATCAGCATGTTTTCAAATTCTTTACTCTCGCGGATGTTGGTCTTTAGGTTCTAACGCCTTAAAGATGGAAGTAGTATGTTCCTCCGAAACGTTTGGCTGTACCTAAAAGTCCAACATCTCCTGCTCCTTTCGTCAACTTACTTTAGAGTACAGCGCTAATTTGGTATTCTCTTTCACTGCGTTCCTTTTCCAATCTCTTTGACAATCACGTACGGCTTTCACTACATTCTGAACTTGTATCATTTTCTTTTAATCCGCATTCCTCTGCCGATCCGTGTTTCGTAAATCACAGTAGTGCTATTAACAAGTTCATCTGTGCTGCCTCCAAACTGATCGTCTCTCTGATTTGAAACCCACGTCTTCTTCAACACCAGAGTGTTTCCTGCTATGTTACGTAAAATTCCCTTAATTTAGTCTGCGTTCCCATTAATTTTCTGAGACTTAATTGTGTTCTGCCGTTCATTTCATGGTAACATATGCTTAAATTTTACAGCCCGTAATGTTAAACTAATTCCTTCAAATCCTTTAAGTGGCGTGAGTCGATTCAAAGTCATATACGTAGATACCAACTGGTGGACGGAACGCGGTTCATTGAAAGACGATATCAGACACAGCCTACACCAGAGTGACGAAACGTCGCTGGCCGAGTGGAGATTTCTCTGTTTTCAGGTACCAGGTTCACGCCTCGGCTCGGAGACCAGCTATTTTCATTGAAGTTCCTCGCGTTTTTCTTCAGTCCGTAAACAAATGCTAGGACAGCACTTAAAAATATACCACGACCTCTTCCTACCGCATTTATTCCGATTCATATTTCAGTAACCATTGGACTATGTATTTTACAGTCTGACTTACTAATTTTTAAGTAAACACAATATAAACATACCCGATTGCTTCTAAATATCATATATATGTGCACAGCCATTCATAGTACCTGGTAAGGGTAGTTGGTTATATTAGCAGGGCTGCCACCAACGATGCGTCCATCATAACCGGTGCGCGTGGCGAAGTGAACAGCACCTGCAAATTTAAACAGCAATCCTGTCTGCAACATTGACTTAGCCTTTTTGACACGGTATCAAAAAAAAAATAAAGTTCCATTTATTTTAGATGGTGTGTTAATAACCCAAGTCCATAAACTGATCAAAAATAAGTAACATACCAAAACAGTAAAGAAACAGTGAAGTGAAGATCACAAGGCGAAACATGATGCAGCTTCTGTGATTCCAGCAGGAAGTGACAACGTTTGCATTCGTTAATGAATTTATACATTTAAATATCTTTTGTGATAAACTGATTACGTGAAACTGACGGGATATCCCTTTTTTTAGATCAAGATTACTTGATAACCTCAATACCTCAAACCAGATTTTACATTTGGGGAATTTTACGTGGGAAATACAACATGAAATTTTCGCACTAAAAATTAATGTGTCACTTTTACAAGTGCGAGATATGAATTAACATACACAACCATTTCAAGTGGATATATTAACATTGCGTAAAGTTAGTTCTTAACACCAAATTGTTACCGATTCCCCTAAATGTTTGTGAAAATAGCTGATTCATTACGTCACATAACGTCCATTATTGTCTAGCAATTAGCGTACTGGACTAGTATTTAAGATATGCAGCAAAGTTACTCCAATTATATATACGAGTATAACTTTCGCGTTGTAATTCAGAACCATTTTCTTGAAATACCGATGATAAACCGATAAACTCTAAACTAACACAATAATCTCAATCCAAATTTACAATTTGTGTAAAATTGAAGTGTTTGTCTACATCTTTGTGATATTTGAATATGTATTAGTTACACAATAAATGTGACATATTTCCATTAGAGGAGAGAAATATAACGAGAAAAAGTTTAAAATGGGTTAAAATCGAAGGCCTCCCGAATTCAAAGCAGAATTATATTATTTCCGTTCCCTGAAGGGCAGATTAAACAGACAGGAACTACAAATCATGTTTCTGGTTTATATATAACTGAAGTTTTCCACGTATTTAGCACAATGCATCATGTCTCCTGCATTGGTGCTGGTCTTCTCTCTCTCTCTCTCTCTTTTTTTAAAATACTTCCCGCGTTGCTTCATAGGACAGAACAGAAGAGTATGACACAGTTTCGTGCCATTTTAATTACACAAGATTCATTATTTCTTGGAATAAAAGTACGATAGACTACCACCCTAACTTTTGCCTTCCGCAATTTGGTCTACAGCATTGTCTCAAGGACAATTTAAAATTGCTGTGATGGTTACAGTATCGTTATGCAACTGTCGATCACAGGTTGACTACCATGGAATAATGTTGCATAGCTAAAACTGAAGGAGTTATTTGAGCGGAGGTGTCAATTGGCAGAACACACAACAGGATATTCATTTTCTTACAACAAATATTTATAATACATTTTTTTTTAAAATAAAGTGCATAACTCTACTTTTATAATTTTCACGGCTAATCCACTGTTTTAAACATCTGAAATACGCTGATCATGTATTGAATACCGTGATAAGATATCTGGGATCTAGGTTTAGTTTACAGATAACGCACAGCAACGCAGGCCACAACACGGCCTTTTAACGTATTCAACGTCAGATGTTAAATGTTAGTGAAGTTGGAGACGATTTGAAATCTATCACCATGTTTCACATATTGGCTTTCACTTCAGTGATTCTTGCTTCTTGTTCAGGTAAGTTTTAAAAAGACTGCTGAGTAATATCACTCGTCTTCCACTCTCAAACTTCCAGAACATCAAATGTTAGTCTCAGCACTAGATATACAAATTGCCTACCACCTTACTGTTGGAAATTTGCTTTCGCGTGTAAAAACTACGACACAAATCAAATCCGTTGGTGGCTCGTACAAAGATGGCTGTCTTCTGGGTGGTCCGGTAGAAGTTTGTCGACATTTCGGGACTACCTGCTAAATCCTTCATCACGGAGATTGATGATGGAGGCAGCACGGGCCACAGAAACGTCGATAACTTTTATCAGGCTACACGGCGCAACCACCTAGAACACTACCATCTTTCCAAAACGCTTTTTATGGATTACAGACTGCAATATTAAAGTCGTTTAACAACTTCATTTGTCCTATGTTCATATACTTTATATTCTCTGTTTCAAATTACGTAAATTTAACGATATAAATTGATATAAACGAGGCCTGAAAAAGTTTGTAAGTCAATACGTTACGTAAAGATATGACCAAATACGAATTATGAATTCATTCTCTGAGCTTCAAGAGGGTTTGGTGTCACTGAATCGTAAGTAGTCAGAAAGGCAAAGAAGCAATTATCATGACCAAATACGAATTATGAATTCATTATCTGAGCTTCAAGAGGTTTTGGTATCACTGAACCGTAAGTACGTTGTGTGAAGTCAGAAATTCGTCTAAAGCAACAATTATAAAGCACCTATGAATGATAAAACGTATTTCTTCAACGTGATATATATGTGGTGGTTACATATTCAGGAGAAACATTAATAGTTCCAGGACCTTCGTGGATCACTTGCAATTTAAAATAAAAACACCATTTTACTTAAATTGTTTCTCACACATGTAACGAATAAGATAAATCATACATCACGTAATACACAAATAAGTGACTTTGCGTGGACATGCTTAATATAATTTAATTTAATTAATCAAATGAAACAAAGTAATATAACAAGTTTAGGTTTGGGTTTTAAAAGATGAGCGTGTCAGTTGCGACGTCCCACGTTCTCGAGAATTCGTCATAACGTGATTAATCAGATAAAATATCTCGTAAATTACATTATAATTTTTTTTAAAAGTGTGTATTTTAGATATACCTGTATCTGAGATAACATAATACTAACTTCATAGAATATTTATGAACTGATATGGTGTGTTTATATATTGATACGGGCATGAAATTCTGATAAGGGACGCCCGTTGAACTTACGGGTAAATAACATATAGTTTTCAGATGATACGTATAATCACTTTCAGCAAAGTGGTCAAGTGTGCCAGCTACATTTTCTTATTACAGAATCGAAACTAATTTCATCTACATTTTCCTTCTTATCAAATTATTTAAATTGCCTCATGGGAATGAAGTTTTAAACTGGATCTTTAAGAAATAGGATGTGAGAATATCGGGTGAAATAATCTTGGTGGGGTTTTAGTGGCAAACCCTTGCAAATATAATAATGAATCCTCAAGTTCCATAAAATGCAGAAAATTTCTTGACGACCTGAGCAAATATTAGGTTGTCAAATTCGGACTGCTTCCGTTAGCGATTTACTTTTATAGAAAACATGCGGTTCTTAGGGTCATGATCACAATAAATGGGACTGAATTGACAGTGTCGTAAATTATTTGACTCAACAAATGTATTTACGGGATGCTATATGAATTTATATGGTGGCACTTAATAAAAAAAAACACCCGATACAAGTATCAAGACCTTCAGATTCGCCAGGCAGGGTACACTTATGAAAACTATAGTTTTAATAATGATCCTGTGCTTCTCTGTTTTGTAGGAACAGAGCTTCATCCGAATAGCCGTATTGTCCAGGCATCCGTGTCGGACCCATGGGCGATACCATACCAGGTAACTGAGTGGTCAGGTTTGTGGCTGGAAGGGAAGATCTACTGTAAACCATTTTCCTGTTTATTCTGTTGTTAAATTTCTGTCGTGTTTTGCAAATAACTTCACATTTAAACCAACACGGAGTGAATGACATAATAATCATCATGACCTTTCTTCTGTGCTTGTTGAAGGTGTCCATAGAATTCAGTCATGCACATCGCTGTAGCGGTTCTATGGTTAGCCCTACTTGGGCACTGACTGTGGCCCACTGCATTAAAGAGTAAGTAAGGTACGATCACATTTTGATTTAGAAGCCAAGAACAACACTGAATTTGATCCTTCAACTTTAACACAATTATTCAGAAAAGGCGAGTTGATAAATATTACTTCTTCAAATCAAATTCTAAAATAGTACCTCAAATTAGGCCACAGCCGCTTAATTCTGCAAACCTTCCAATTAATTATTCATTAATCATCCTGTCATTCCACGTTATGTAATCTGAGCTCCTGACAGCATCGTTAATTAAGAAAATAAAAATGAAACAGCAATGTTGTTGCTTGTTTTCTGTGTTGTAAATCGCTGTTGATTTGTAAGTAGACACAAAAGTTCCGAAGAAACACAAGGCATCCATCTTCAAGGCTACATAATCAGTATTGTCCTCCGAAGCGTAGGCATCGACCTATAAGTCCACATGGAGGTAGAAACCCAGAAGATTAGCATTGACATTTTTACCGCCGTGCCAACCTCGAATCTCTCAAACAAAACACCGTGTATTTATTTAATCACGTCGCAGTCTGCCATAAAATTTCAAAGAAGTGAATTGAAAGTAATTACTTTTTGAAGATTTCTGTCTTCCGGGTTGTTGCGCTGTGTAGTCTGGTCGATGTTTACCAACGTTTCAGAGGTCATACTGCCTCCGTCATCAGAGTATGAAGATTTCTGTCTTCCGGGTTGTTGCGCTGTGTAGTCTGGTCGATGTTTACCAACGTTTCAGAGGTCATACTGCCTCCGTCATCAGGGCGATTCAACATTGGTTAACATCAACCAGTCTACACAGCGCAACAACCCAGAAGACAGAAATCTTCATACTCACCGCTGTTAAAACCTCAAATCTTACATAATTCTTTTTTGTGTGTCCTTTAGTCTGGATTCCTCGGAGTTGACTATCCGAGCCACTGCCCCGATGAGAAACATACTGGGACAAATTCGTAATGTATCATTTTACGTACTTCACCCAAAATATGAACCAGAAACCATGGACTACGACATCGCTCTTATAAGGGTAAGATTTAAAGTGAAACTCGGTAATAAATTTGCGAAATATTTGTGTAGAGAGCGAAGTTAAAGCTGCCAGATTCCGGTAACGTCATTTCCTTCAGGTTCGTATATCGCTGTTGTTCTGGATTGCCACGCTATATGGACTTGGAGGTAAATACCAAAGCTTCGAAGAAAATTACCCTCACCATATAATATTGTTAAATCTGCATCTTCACACAACAAATGATAAATTCGTGAACTTGTGAGCCGATTTATTACACGCCTTTACCATAATTTTTGGCGCCATTTTTCAGGCTATACTGTTCATCTTCAGGCCATTAATATTCTTACAATTTTCTAGTTCAAATGGGCATAAAAGTATTTGTTTTGTAAAGACAAATAATTCATAATAATATAATATATTTACGATATGCTGTCTACTACAGACAAGTATTGTCCCTATCTCCACTTCAGCCATGAAGATGGGACAGTATATTTCTTCAAGACGTTGGTGTTTACGTACAAGTCTCCACGACATTACAGATCAGAAGACCACCATCTCACTTGTCTTTTCTACCTCAGAATTAACAGACCATTATTTTCTTGGGATATCCGTACGGCGTTTCAAACCATACTGTATTCGACAGTTCATTATATTTTATTTGTTATGTCAATATTACGTATTGCACGTTATCAGAGGTATATGAAGTATGGAAGATTATCTGAGGTCATACACAAATCAAGAAACATTACAACAGCTGGACACATACTTAGAGAAAATATGCATCATCATTACAAGACGGTGCCCTTAAAATAGGTCAAATTGAAGACCAGGAAGAAGACATCAAGGCAAAAACGGAGCTGAAGGTTTGAACGAAAGTTGATAGCTCTAAACTCCGGACGCAGAATATGGTATTTGAAAGTCTTTAGCGATGACTCTACTATTGTCATAGACATCGATTACACACCTCCGTCAGCACCACATATATCGTTCATAATGTCTTAAGTTGGGTTATTTCATATTTATTATTATCACGCATGGAGGTTTATTAATTTCTTTAGAGGTAAAATGGAGACCTGCAGACATTTGACAGGTTCCCAGTTTTAATAAAAGCATATCCTTTTTAATAATACTTGCGGGCCTCAGTAGCCAATTTTTTTTTAAGAAAAAGTATATTTTAGTAACTTCTTTGTGCATAATTTTTTTAAAAGTTGCAGATTTCAAAAATTACAGCATCTCCGTACTGTGTTCTGAACTTGATAATTCTTACCCATGTTTCACACATCAATAGAGATTGGAAATGAATTACATTAACCTATTTCAATTTCAGCTTTCTGAAGAGATTGCTTTCGGAAATACAACAAATAACACTGTCACCATAGCAACAGAGGTTCCGTTCGAGGGCAATATTGCGAGAGTAAGTGGATGGGGTTCACCTTACCCTGGGGCATGGTTATCTCCACTACTCACTGAAAAGAACGTGACGATCGTGTACTTCAACGAATGTCAGTATGCTTACAGCGGCATTAACAATTTAGTCACGGAGCGTATGATCTGTGCCACGAGTACCAGCGGTGGTCCATGCCAGGGTGACACCGGGGACCCTCTGGTCTTCGAAGAAGAGCTCATCGGTGTGATGGCCTGGAGCTACGGTTGTGGCGAACCAAAGTTCCCGACAGTATACACTGACGTCACCAAATTCAGGGCCTGGGTCTCAGACTATACTGGCCTTGAATTTTAATGACTGTGAACGTTCATTTGTTTAGGCATTGTTTTGTTGTTCTTCAACACTAAGTATGTAAATAAAGTTTCATGATTGTGCTTTGCGAGGTAATCAAACTGTTTTACTGGTATTAGAAACATACGCCATTTGTGAAGCTTCCTTCATGAACACTAACAGCTCGCATTCAAGAGCAGAATAGGACAAGCTGAGCTGCATGCTAATACAATCCACTGAAATTCCTTTAACGATTAAACGCTTGGTTTCTGAGACAATGTAGGGTTACTACAGATGCAGTATCAACATTAAATGAACTTAATTATTATGCTGAACTCGAAGCAAGTAATTATTTATATAATAATAATCAACATTCCCAACAAACTTGCATTATTTATAAATACGCATATACTATATCCAGTTTATTATGATGCATGTATGTTTGTGAATGTTTTAATAGTAGTAAGACAAGCTTCGATTTCAAAGGGTTCATAAGCATTTCCTTCTTGCTTCTACTAGTATTTTACTAATAATAAAAGCTCCTGAAAACAAGTGTTTTATACATCTCAGTTAAAACATTCACAATAAATAATATAACCTATACATGCAGTAAATAATAATAACTTCTCGTCAATTTCAATTCATCTGGAGTTCTGTTAACAATAAAAGTTACGAAAACTGCATTCTACAAGAAAATGTTTATTTGCTATGGCGGAATTTCACAGAAATGAATACGTTTCCTGGAATAAATCAGTAAACCTTCCACAGAAAATCGTGTTACTGCTCCACGCATTTCAGAAATATTCAACGATTCTTATATGAGTTACTTACATTACACAGTATGTGAGAACCACAAGGAACCACCACAAACACGGATCCACAATAGCAAGGTAAACAACGGAATATTGGTTCCAGACAAATCTTTCAATGATGCTTATTCAATTTAAACAGTTCACGACAGTGAATTTTGGCATTCTCCTCCATGTTTGAAAGTTCTTTGTTCACTGTAGCATAGCTCTGCACAGAGCAACACTACCTGAAATTAAAGCAGTCCGTGCTCTGTGTACGTCTTCCGTCTATGGAGAGATTTCAGACGCGAATACACGGCTGCCGTACTGGACAGAAAACTGGGAGGCACCAAACTATATCCCTTCACAAGACACGTATAGTCTAATGGCGCATTTATACAAAGCTCTACGGGACTTGTTATCGCAACTTGAACATAAACGACTTAAATTTTTGAAATAAATTCGAAGATTTTGTCATAGCTCCACAAGCATAGCTCTTGTTTATAAGCTCATATCCTTAAAGGAGTCATGAAATTCTATGCTTTATTGAACAAAACAATTTATTACCGCTCCCAAAACAACCGGTCACTGAACAATATCATGGTCTAGCTCACCCTTTCTCAACCTATGGTTCACGTACCAGTGGTGGTACGCGAACTAAGTAAGAAAATCAAAAGTTAATATTAACATAAACAACAGATTTCCCTGAACGCATTTGGTTAGTGGTACATTTAATGTGTTAAATTATAATTAGTGGTACGCCAGCCAAAAAGGTTGATAACCCCTGGTCTAGTGGAATACAGTCCACTCCCTCCGACTCAATGACCTTCTGATAATAGTTTAATATATCTCCTATATATAAATTATATATAGCGTAATTCGTTTTGAGAAGCTAACAATCGATCAGCTAATGAATAAAAAGTTCCATCTTGTACTGTATGCAAGCTATGGTTAATTACCACCTTCATATGAGACCGTCATTGGACCCTATTCTGAGCGAAATAAAGCAATCAACACCCATAACAATAATACAAATAAAGATTGAGCTTATGTAATCACCAGACCATGAAGAAACAATTATTACCAAGCGTGTTTCCTAAAATCCTATTCTCATCAGGAAAGGTTTTCCCTTAACACTGGCGTTTGAATTAAGAAGGCAGCATGCTCTTATCATTGTAAAATCCCTGGACTGTTCGTACGCAGTTAGAAATCAGACAGATTATAATCTATTGGATTTTAATAAGCATTATCTTGGTAACTGACAATGGTGTAAACAAATTAATATTTATTTTGATACAGAGATTCTGAACAAAGGATGTGTCGCTTAACTAGACGAAGATTGACATTATAATGTGATTCAAAATATTCGATTACTACGTTTCCAAAATGATTATAGATCTACGCACAATACATTAGGGGCATTACTTTCGTTGCTTTGGAAAGATTAATTTGTTGCGAAAATGACTTGTTTATTTTCGTGAATTTTCTACAGACACGATATATAAATTTAGGTATGTACGTATAAAAGTTCAGGTCTCATTCAGTTTAAAATACGAAATATGCTAAAGTTAAGTTTAACCCTAGCTGGAAAAATTTGGGGGGGGGGCAGCTTCGTACGACCTACAATACATACGAAAGAAACTTATAATTTTTCTGTGATTCATTATCGTTCTCCTGAAATGTTACAAAGATAAGAAGACAGTCACTTCTCACTTGTCATTAACAGGCATTTTTCGTATATGAATTATTTCTCTAAAACATTTTATTTTCTTCAAAGTACAATGAATTTTAGAGTTAAAGAAATTGTAGGCGTTCCCTATCACGATTTGAACCAAATATATGGAAGGAAAAGAGGATGGTACAAGCTCACTTCTTCCTTTTACAAGTTTGTTGATTGGGTAAGGAGGGAGATTTTCCTCCGAGCCTCTGGCACAAAGATCTCTCAGTCCACCTTTGATAACAATTTCTGCTTTTCTTACTTTGTGAGCCTTCTCTATTCCCCTTTGCCTCCTTCTTTCTATTTTGTCTTCAGATATACCTGGCTTGTCTTCTTGTCTCTGAGGAAAACGTTCTCACAAGTCGACGTCGACGATCAGCCCTTCATACAACAAGACTAAAAAATTCTCGCGCCTTGTTTCATAAAATTTCCCCAAGGCTTACATTCGCAACGATCTTTAAACGCGGTGAAGCCTAACAAAGTAATTCTCCATACGAAGATGTGCAAATATCCATCTTTGAATCTTCTTCCTCACAGAGCGTGAACGTAGGAGCGTGGTAGATGATACGCCTGGTACCGAGCCTGTCTCTTTGATCAAACTGCTGGCTGGAATACCAGACAAGTCGACCGCAGCCAAAAATATTCCTAATTTTACTGTCTTTGGTCTCACCCAAGGTATCAGTGGTACTTAGTTATCCTTAAGACCATATGCCAAGACTCTTCCATAAGCGTAAAATAAAACAGTATTTTGAACAGCCGGCCTATTTAACGGGATATTCACAACTGCTAAATTTATTGAATAACCTCGAAAGACAAAAAGTTTTTTACTCCTTAACCAAAATGAGGCGGTATGTTATTTTAGCATCAAGAAACCAAGAAAATTCATAAAAACATCAATAACGATAGCCGACGTTCTGCTTCATTTTTTAACCTTTCAAGAACAAAAATAAAAAGATTAGTTATCACATCACACCTACGTATAGTCTTATGTTCAGAAGTAGTAAATATTTCTTAACATTTTAATGGAATAAATATTTACAATTAGTATTCATAAACATTTAAAAAAAATATATACATAAATTAGAATAAGTACCTCGATGTATTCAGGATTATAGGTCAACGTTGATAAGAACATAATATAGTTATTTTTAAATAATAAAATGTAATGTCTCTAAAATAATATTGGGCAAATATATCAGAATTTATCAAATACCAACGTCGACACTTGATTCTGTATAATATACTAATGTCCATAAGTATCTTAAAAATCCATTCAGCGGTCCTCGAATTGAAACCTGAGGACTGACGGAAAGACATCACCACCAGTATCTTCGTTATTTCGTGCAAATAAAGTTTAATAACAAATTGTTTGGTAATTCTGAAAATATGACGTGTAGAGAACACAGCCAGATAAGGTTACGGACTTTACAGGGTTCTGGAGGTGGTCATAGGTAAGTGTTTGTTTAGTTACCAGTTAAGTGCGACTGCTTTCATATCTGAATTACATACGCCGAAGATTATATTGTTCATGAATACATTTCTTATCAATTTATGTTCTGATGTCACTACGTAAAGGGAGGCTGTATTCGATTGGATAAAACGGAATTTTCATTCAAGACAATTAAATGTGACTCTGGACTCCATTTCTTTTAGTTGGACCCTTTGTCTGGTCCAGAAAGCATTGTCTCAGACTGTAATACAATCTTCAGAAATCCTGCTGGGATTTTCCCGCATACCCATTATAACGACTGCTCAATTCCATAATCTCTGTCAGTAATCTAGTGGAATATTAAGCCTGACAGATAACATGTATGGACGTATGTTTCAGATTAAATATGTGATTAAAGTGCAATACTTTATCCCTTCTGTTGGGTTTTTCTATTATAATTCAAGCATTCACAAATTGAGGAAATTCCCTCTACAAGTAAAATGTTTTAACTCTCTAAAGGCCAAAGGTCGTCTACATAATATTTAAAAATTCAACTCCTACCTCAAAGAAAACACAATGTCCTTCCACTACAAACAATAATACGGAAGTGAATATTAAAACAGTTGATACATGTCATTACCACTGAGCTTCAAAGAATTAATATCTCATTAAAATAAAATATTTCAAATAAAGCAACGAACCATATGGTGTTTCAGGAAAGACTAGGAAATTCTGTAATGTATCTGAGCGGGGCGACATCTGCAGTGTATCGTGATTTAAATGTACAGAAGTACCATTTAAAATGCAACCCAACAACAATTGTTATTGTACAAAGATTATATCTTAAGCAGATCTACCCCCGTGCAAGAGACTCTCCAAAATTACCCCTAAGACACTCGAGTCGAAGCCACCCTGGTTACTAGGCCGCTGATCATGTCAGTTGCGCAAAAGCTGCTATTTGCATACACGGTATATTTATTAGCAGGAAGTGTATTCATTCTCGAAAATTATTTCGCATCGAAATCGATTGGTGCTGTACGTGAAACAAAGACATATCGAACATTTGAGGTTCTCACAGCGGTGAGTATGAAGATTTCTGTCTTCTGGGTTGTTGCGCTGTGTAGTCTGGTAGATGTTAACAAACGTTTCAGAGGTCATACTGCCTCCGTCATCAGGGCGAGAGTGTATGACCTCTGAAACGTTGGTTAATATCGACCAGACTACACAGCGCAACAACCCAGAAGACGGAAATCTTCAAATATCGAACACACCGACTGGTAAAACGTTTCTGGATGTAGGAAGTGTTCGTTTATGACAAGTGCTTATCGAGCGAAAGAACAGTTGAAATTACGTCATCGGCTACAAGAATTTAATATTGCCATTGGTTAGGTCGTTTTGTGCCCGTGTAAGAGCACGCGTGTAATATAAGGATGCGTTTTAAATGGAACGCTCTGTATACGTACAGAATAATGCATTATGGAAATTGGAAAATAAACTTTTTTAAAAAGCATGTTAACTCTTGGTTAGAATCGGCAAATTTTTACATGGAAATATTAAACAGTTAATTTTATATAATCGTTTCTTCCACTTACTAGCATTCGCTTTTTGACATGCCGATGGACGGACAAAATCGAACAATCCGTGCCGTCCATAAAATTCAATTCACAACACAAAGGGGAAGGGGGGGGGGGTGAATTTTACGTAAGAAAATATCCATGGGTGGAAATCGTCGATTTTCCTTTCTTCCATTTTATTCTATGCAAATGACGTAGTCTGAGTCTGAACGCCTGCACTGCCACAGAGCCGCTGGGGAAACCGCCCCATAGCAGAAGGGCGAAACCAAAATGCATCATGCATGATAAAATGCACCTCCCACCCTCAAATAAAAAATATTCGAGGGGCCTCAGGAACTCGTACAGGGATCACAGACACATTATTTTTTCATTTCTCTTCTACTCTTTTGTAGGGTTTCCTCGAAAACCTTTTGACTTTCTAATGTAACTTCTTCAGGTAAAATCCCAAAAAAAAAAAAGAGGAAACTGTAGTAGTACAATTTAAATATTTGGTTTTGTCTCTTATACGTTTGATCTGTGGTGTGAGAAGTCAGGTTCAAAACGGAATGGTGATAGAGCGACGACATTTCAATTATATTAACCTCTAGGCGTGTGAAATCATTTCCTGCACTTTATACGTTCTCAGACAAGTAGTTCCTTTTGTATTCGGCACAACGTTCGTATAAGAAATGTATACTATAGGGACACCATTACTAGATAACCTTGTTTATTTCTGGTTTAAGAAGTTTCAAGCGCCTACAGCTTACATTGTCATTTCTGAAACTATCCATTTCAGTTGTCGATCACTTGTTTACGCTGAATTAAAATCCCAGTAAATTCCAAAAAAACACGTCAGTTTAAGTAACCACCTGTCGCCACAGTCGGTCGGAAGCAATTGGTTCAAAAAAGGGCTGGAATTATATCTCTTGTAGTCAATTTATTACTGTATCCCTGTGACACGGATCAATATTATTCCTGAAAATGACTACCTTGTAGTTTTCAGTGCCGTGTAGTCTGCT